CCCAAAAAAAAAAAAAAAAAAAAAAAAAAAAAAAAAAAAAAAAAAAAAAAATAGCTGTTTTACATGCATTGTTAAATTCCATAACTCTTTCACTATTCCTCTACAAAGTTGTGGAAGAAACAAGGAAACAAAAATCATAAACACAAATTCATTCATTCAATAAATATTTGAATGCCCGCTAAGTGTCAGGCATGTCCTAGGCTCTGGAGATACAGCAATAAACAAATGAACCAATGTGCTTGTCTTCAGCCAGAGAATTTGCATTCTGGTGGGAAGACAGAAATAAACACACAAACAGAGAAATTCAAGGAGTGTAAAATGGTATGGAAAAAAAATAAGCCAAATAAACAGAGGTCAGAGCTGGCTTATTTTAGGTAATGTGGTCAGGGAAGTCCTCTTAGTTAGGAGAGGTAAGCAGTGGCTAAATGGAGTATAGTGTATAGAATTATAAGGAGTTTTAGTTTTATTCTAGGGTGGGACTCTATTGGAGGACTTTCAGCTAGGAAGTGTCATGATCATACTTATATTTCTAAAAGATTGTTCTATCTACTAAACAGAGAATAAACTGTCATTAGGGAGGGGACAAGAGTGGAAACAGTGGGTCAAGTAGGGAGGCTATTTCACTAGACCAGATGGGAGAGCTGTCTAGAACTGGGCCTAGAAGTGAAGCAGCAGAGGTGAAAAGTAATCAATTTCAGAATATTTTGGAAGACAGAACTAAAAGAACTTGATAATGGGTTGGATGTGGGATAGAAGGAAATGAGAGAATCAGGGACGATGCCTGTACTTTGGGCTTGAACAACTGAGTGATGACATTTACAGATAGGATGAACCCTGTTGAAGTTATACATTTTTTAGTGGGGATGAATTTCTGTGCCCTGGTTTCATCCTTTGTAAATTGTAAAAAAACAAAACAAAACAAAAAAATTATTAGCCTCATAGGATTTTTTTTTTGTTAATGTGATGTTTTGATAGGAGGTTGTGTTTTATTTTATGTTGTTTATTTTATTTATTTATTTGGCCATGTCATGGCATGCAGGATTTTAGTTCCAGACCAGCCATCGAACCTGTGCCCCCTGCAGTGGAAGCACAGAGTCCCAACAACTGGACCCACCAGGGAATTCCCAGGATTTTTAAAAATTAATTTATTTACTTATTTATGGCTGCATTGTGTCTCTGTTGCTGTGCAAGGGCTTTCTCTAGTTGTGGTGAGTGGGGGCTGCTCTTCGTTGCAGTGCACAGGCTTCTTGTTGCAGAGCACGGGCTCTAGGTGCATGGGCTTCAGTAGTTGCGGCATGTGGGCTCAGTAGTTGTGGCTCATGGGCTCTAGAGCGCAGGCTCAGGAGTTGTGTCGCACAGGCTTAGTTGCTCCACAGCATGTGGGATCTTTCCGGACCAGGGCTCGAACCCATGTCCCCTGCATTGGCAGGTGGACTCTTAACCACTGCACCACCAGGGAAGTCCCAGCAGGATTTTTTTTTTTTAGTTTTAAAATTTTGCAAAGTTTAATGTTGGTACTGTTTCTTTCCATATCAGTGGGTACAATTTACATCATATTTTATACTATTTAATCTTTGCAAAGACATCATATACACAAAGATACAAATTCAATAACTGAAAAATATGGAATGTTTCATGAATTTGCATGTAATCCTGTGCAAGGGCCATGCTAATCTTCTCTGTGTCATTCCAATTTTAGTATATGTGCTGCCAAAGTGAGCACAAGCTTCACAATTCCACAAGTGGGATTCTTATGAGGTGTAAATAAATTTAAACTTCTCAGAACCAGTTAGAAATTTATACAAATTAACTCGTTGTAATTACTCATTTGCCGGTCTTACCAGGTTGAGAAGGTCTGAACCTTAGGACCTGTTTTCCTTTCTTATTAAAGTTTTCCTGCCAGAACACCATATGTCATTACTTGCCTTGAGTTGGAAAACAGTTTGCATTCACATCTGTAAATTTATTCACGCTTTTAACTTATGTAAGGTTTTTGCACACAATTCTCAATTCTTGAAGAGATGACAACAGATTTTGGTTTTCTACTGTCATGTGAGAATATTAGGCCCCAGCAGTGTGCCATTGTGAGGAAGTAAAAGTGCTGCAGTAAACCAAAAAACAAAACAAAACAAAACAAAAGAAACCCAGCTATACTCCGTTTTTTCTCCACAGAGATGGTGTTCGATTCTCTCATCAGCCTTCAAATAGAGAGAAAACAGAATTTGTGGTGACCATGTTTTGAATGGACGTGAATTGTGGGTGCTTTGTCCGTATTGCCAGCTGATGAGTCACTTCAGATTATTGGGACGTGGGGAAACTTTTCACAATCTGTTCTTGGGATGGAGCAATCCCAGCTAGGAAACTCATTTTCAGTATAAGAAAGTAAACTTCAAGCTAGAGTCCTTGTTCTTCCAGTTGCTATAATGGCCCATTGTAATAAATCACTGATTACTAAAACTGCCTCTCCGGTGGCCATGCAAATCAAAAACAAAAGTTCCCAGTTCCCAGAGATTTGTCAGAGAACTATCCATATGCAAACCAAATGTCAAGGTCAGTTTATACTTTCTCCCCTCTTTTTGTTTGGTAGGATTAGGATTCTTTTTTTAGCCTCAAACAAGCCATTGCCTCACTTGTTTTGGCCACCAAAAACACTTGGACAAGAATCACATGATTTAAGCAGTGGTGAAATAATCTGATTTCACGTAGAGCTCTGGTGAACATTAATATTTTAATTGTCAGTCAAGCATAAGGAAAAACAAAGAGGGAATTCCCTGGTGGTCCAGTGGTTAGGACTCCACACTTTCACTGCTGAGGGCAGGGGTTCAATCACTGGTGGGGGAACTAAGATCCTGCAGGCCACGCCAAAAAAAAAAAGAAAAAGAAAAAAGGAAAACGAAGAGGTAAAAAAATCATCATCAAGTGTAAGTTCATCAGTTGTTCAATGGTATCACTCTGGTTGGGGATGTTGATAGCAAGGGTGATTGTACATGTCTTAAGGAAGGCCGTATATGGGAAATCTGTACCTTCTGCTCTAATTTTGCTGTGAACCTGAAACTGCTCTAGAAAATGTCTATTAAAAAATTACATTTCTCTAAAATCCTCTAATTGTGAGGTAAAAATACATTAATTACTCACTCCATGGACATTCTCTCGTGCATTCATCAGGCTGAAATTT